CTTTCAAAACAAGGAATAAGTAGTGAACAATTATATCTTTGGTCAGCTCCAATTGATCTTGTTGAAGAATATCAGTTCTATTTAAATCAATTATTAACATTTAATGATTTATCACTGGGAAAAGAAATCTTTTATAATTGTACATTACCAAGATTTGGTTCTCATTGTCAATATGAATTCGATTATTATAATCATTCTAACCATTCATCTTTATCTGAAATCATTCATGAATACTATACTACTAATGAATATGATCCAACCAATTTAACCTGTTATGAACATTTACAATGTTATCGTGGTTCAGAATCAGCGTGTTTAGACTGGACTGACATATGTGATGGAAAAATTGATTGTTTCGATCATGGACAAGATGAAGAACATTGTTGGCAACTTGAAATAAATGAATGTACGGATGATGAATATAGATGTGATAATGGACAGTGCATTCCTGAAGCATTTTATCAAGATGGTAAAATCATTTTTGATTGTATTGATATTTCTGACGAAACTGTGAATAATGTGAAACTAAACCGTACGTGCAATAAAAATGAACCAACACTTGAATGCGAAGATAAAATATGTAAAGAAAGTTTTTTAACAAGTTCATGTGCCGAAAAACGAAAGGTTTTACTTATGAAGGCAATGTTTTCAACGAAACATAACTCTACATCTGAACAATGTTGGTTTGGAATAAAATGTATGTTTGATCGATCATCCTCGAAAGAGTCATATTGTCATGAACTGTATGGAAACAAGTCGTATCTAAAAACTCTTTTGAATACTTGCCCAGAAATGTTAAACGTACCTAATTATCCAATTTTATTTGGTGATATTTACATTGCCATAGAAAAAAATTACTCAAAACAAATGTTTGATTACAATGGTTTTCATCTTTATCGTTGTTATAAGCATCGTTCTCATTATGATCCTTTTCTTAATATCACCACAGACACTCTGTTCAATGATACAATATGTTCTAAAGGTGACATATTCGTGCCTATAACGTCTGGGATAGGCAGCGCATCAATAGACAGTTATGACAGATTCATACGCCAAAAAACTACCGAACTGAAGAAATCTCGTTACTATTTTAACTATACGTCGACAATTTGTAACAGACCGAATATGTATCAATGTACGAATTCATCGAAATGCATCTCAGTAGACCATATGTTCAACAGCTATGGTGCTTTATGCCCACGCTCAGATGATCGAAATATGGATGTAATTAAAAAATATCCTAATATAATACAACGATTAAATAAAACTCATCTTTACTGCGAAAGAAGCAACAAGTATTTTTCTCGACGTTTCATTAATGATGGTTACTGCGATTGCCAAGATTTCCAGATTTATCCTTCGTGCACGGATGAAAATATAGGAGAGGTAGACACTCGAAAGGATATATCGTTTTCGACTATTTGTGATGGATTTCAAGAGCTATTACCAATAAATGGAAACGAAACAGATCAAACAGGATGTGAACAATGGGAATGTGATAATATTTATACTCATTGTGACGGTAATTGGAATTGTCCTTATGGTG